GTGAGATCGTGAATGCTGTTCAGAATTAGAGGGAGAAATGTCACCCCGCTGGGGAAAAAAAATCAACAGCCACTTCTTAATCAGTTTCTTAAAACACTGCAAACACGAGCAAGTTCCCTGTAAACTTGCCGAGGCAATATACCAAGCGTATTCCAAGTACGCCATTTATTGGGGATTGTTTGGTTATTAGTCTCCTCATCTGAACAGTTTGGTTTGAATGACCTACATCATCATGTCACTTAATTCATCCTATGGATACAAAGAAAGATGCCAGCAAAAATGCAGGAAGAGGAGACAGACGAAAGGAATATGAGCAAGGAGAAAAGAAACCAAAGAGAAGGCAGAAAAAGACACAGATGAAAGAAGGAGCAGGAAAGTGAAGACTAAATCCATGCTATTGGGACTGAATACATGCTCTGTCCAATTATGAATATGCATAACACAGTGCCAATTGTGGTTGAATGAATTAACAGAACAATGAATTCTCAATTTAATGTGTTGAGAGCCCATCATGGACAAAGTGCTAAGAATACAAACAGGAATAAGGTGAAGCCCCTGCGCTTAACAGGCTCAAAGTTTAGATGAGTGATAACTGAACAAATAATTACAATACAATGTGCTGAAATGCTATAAGAAACAGGAACTGTCCCCAAAGTTTTGAAAGCACCACTAGAGAGAGGAAGAGGATTCTTGAGTTATGCTTTTAGGTAAGTCATTGGACCTTTCTGAGCGTCATCTCTAAAGAACGATTCTATCTGGCTGCCTCTCTTTTCAGGTTGTTTTAAGACTAAATGAAATTATGGCTGAAAATCCACCATGTAAACTGAAAGTCCTATATCAAGGTACAAGATGGATATTTCCTTTCTTCATTTGGGGAAAGGCCTATTTAGTGCTTACTTTGTGCACTGGGCACTAGTACTGTGGGGTTGAGCATTGACCCATCTCTGGCTTCTCCCTGTCCCTCCACTATCCCAAACCTTAGCACAACTCAATGTGGCTTCATGCTGCATGTTGAAGCTGTGCACCCACAAACACACACAAAGCCAAACCAGTTGCCTTCAAGTGGATTCTGACTCATGGCAATCCCATGTGTGTCAAAGTTGAACTGCACTCCATTGGGTCTTCAGTGGCTGTAATCTTACAGTAGGAGATTACCAGGTTAGTTACCAAGCCGCTCAGGAGGGTGGGTTGGAACCTCCAACCTTTATGTTAGTAAACAAACAAAAAAAAAACAAACCCACTGCTGTGGAGTGGACTCCGACTAACAGAGATCCTATAGGACAGAGTAGAACTGCCTCCTAGCGTTTCCAAGGAGTAGCTGGTGGATTTGAACTGGCAACCTTCTGGTTAGCAGCCTAGCTCTTAACTACTGCACAAATCATTTGCTCCAGTCAGGGAACCTTCAAGCACACACACATACACACATGGAAAATGAGATGAAACACTCACCCACCTCAGGTCCACTCCATCCTTGATGTCCACAGAAGGCTTTGGTACCATAAGAGTATCTGCTGGATTTGGGAGCCCTGGTCCTCTCCCTGGCCCCTTTTCTTTCACTTCTTCTCATCTTTCTTGTCTCTACTCATCAGCACTTTCTTGGTCCTTTTCCTCGCCTACTTCTCTCTCCCTGTTACAGTTTTTGTTGTTTCTGTTTTTCTCTCCCTCCCCATTTGGGGATTAGCACCTCTCCTGTTTGAGAGCAGAGTAATTTCGGAAATCTCCTAGAAGATAGTTGGTGAGGAACTTCTGTGGAGAAGAGAAGCTTCTCCGTGGAAGCCAGTGAACATCTGAAGCTCTCTCTTGGAACTCTAGGACTCTCTCCTCTTTCCTTCTAGACAGGAGATCTCGATCTCTCTCTGTCTCACATACACACACACACACACACACACACACACACTCACTCTCTCTCTTTCTCTCTATCCATCTTCTCCCTTTCCCGTTTCTTCTGGTTCTGCAATTCTCTCCTTCATCTCTTTCTTCACCCCATCCTAAACCCATGTCCCACTTCTCTTTCCAGCACCCCCCGCCCCCTTCCCCATACCATCGCGACCACCGCCCCTTCCCCGCTGGCTCCGCAGCGCGCTGGGACGCCTGGCCAAGTTCCTGGGGGCCTCCTGGGCCCAAGATTCGTAGCCCTCGGGCTCTGCTCAGCAGCCGGTGACCTCACTAAATTTTGCGCTCGTGATTGGCTACTTTTAGGCGCTGCGGCGGGAGATCCTGAAAAGATTCGCGTGGCTGGTTTCTTTGTCCCTCTGCCTCTTTAGGTTGAGTTGGGGAAATAGGCCCTTAACTCTACAGTACTTTACAAAAGGGTTTAGGGGCAAGCGAGCAGAAAGAGTCAGTGATTCAGGCCCTGGGGGTAAGGACAAAAGTTGTTTTGTTGTGCTAGAGGGAGCAGAGTGGGTGATATTGAGGGCAATGGGCTGAGGGTAGAGTAGGAAATTTAAAAGGGATTTTGAATACCCAATGGAAAGTAACAATCTGGGAAGGCCTGGTGCAACTTTCAGCTCTCGCTACGGTCTTTTTCTTCAATAGTGGGGGTCTCCTCTTGAAACAAACAGAGCTTTGGGTTTGGATTCGGAAGTTTGATTTCCAGTCTTTGTTCTTCTACTTGTATGACCTTGGGCAAGTCACTTCATTCCGTTTGTACTCTGCAAAATAGGAGTGATAATGTCAGCCTACTTATTTTACAGGTTTATTAAAAGGTCAATTGAAATGTAAAAGTATTTTATGATTATTTAACCTGTCATTATTCTAGTGAATAATATGGTGCAGCAGAGAGTCCTGGAGAAGGAGTGAAAAATCTTTGATTCTCTTTCATTTTTCTGTAGTGACCTTCATCAGTCACTTTTAACCTTTACGGGCTTCATTTTCCTCATCTGTGAAGTGGGAGAAATGGACTGGATGATCTCAAAGATCTCTTATGGCTTTTACATGATATGATTCACTGACAAAATTTAGCATCCTCCTTTAACTCACCCCTTCAGAGGAGCAGTTCACTTACTGTTTTCAGGACACTAGTTAATTCCTACCCTTTGTAAGAAACCCACCTACTCTTAGGTATCCTGGTGAATCTACTTTTCATAGGGGCCTAGCGTCTCCACCACCCCAACAGTGAAAGCACAGACCCCCAAACTGTGGCAGTATATATGTAGGGCTCATCCTTGATGGAGATTCTCTCCCCAGGCTACTGGCAGGAGCAGGATTTGGAGCTGGGAACTCTGGCTCCACTCGACGAAGCCATCAGCTCCTCAGTCTGGAGCAGCCCTGACATGCTGGCCAGTCAAGGTGAGAATCCAGGACCCCTCATCTCAACGTCCCTCAGTTCTCTCACCCATTCTCACATCATCTCCCACTCACGTTGCCTCCACCTTATGTTCTCAGTCCTCTCATTACCACAGAACTCTTTCTCCTTTCCATCTGACATTTGATTTCTTAGTCCTATACCACCAACTTCTCTTGCACCTACTGCTTCTTCCCTTACTCCAATACACAGACCTCTGTACCCTCCATGCCTCTTTCCAAAAAGAAATGATTCCTGAGGAGTATATTACTCAGAATAAAGAGGTTCTAGAAAGACACAATCAAGGTAGAATTCTTCAAAAGGAACCAGGGACAAAGGGATTATGAGTCAAAAATTGGAGTATGGCTAGCAGGAAATGAAAGGTTTCCCAAAACTTTCATTGAGATAGCTGGGGAATATACCACTTCCAAATTTACTCAGCCAGCTCAGTCATTGGCACACTAATCTCAAAATCATAGTTTTAATTCTTACTTTAGATGACTACTTGAGAAGCATTGCAGTGAAAACAGCCCTGCATTGAGAGTCAGAAAAATTGAGTTCTAATCCTGACTAGTAGAATGGTTTCAGGCAACCATTTCACCTCCATTGCCTCATTGTTTACATCTGTGAAATGAGAGATTTGGATTACATGAGCCCTAAAATCCCCCTCAGTTCAAATTTCCATTATTCGAAACACTAAAACTAGCGACCAGGCTTTGTGTTCTAATTTGGAGACAACCGCCCTAAACCACTGATGCCTGGTATCAACTTGACCACATGTATCTTCACTTTTTAGGGTCTCTTTTCTGCTAGGAGCGCTCATTACATATTTCTTGGAAATGGAGTTCCAGTGACCAAGAAAGAAAGGAATAAGCAGACAGGGCAGGGGTAACGTTGGTGCCATAAGGATCATGGGGATTGTTTCAAAGTGTTCAATATGAGGGATGTAGAAAGTAAGTTTCTTGGTTTTCTATTCAGAGATAACAATGCTGGTTAAGTAACTTAGCTCCATAGAAAACAAAATTTGTGGATGTTTCAGAATCAGAGCTGGAAGGCACTGTCTATTTTAGATTAGTTCTGTGAAGGTCAGTGTTACTGGGTCAGCTAAAGTTGGTTCTAAAGTCTAGAGAATCAATATTAGAATCTGAAGTCCATGCAGTGGAGAACAACAAACAATACCAGGTGGAGGAAAGCAGTGTTACAGAGTCTGAGGGGCTCACAGGTAGGCCTGACTAGAAGGCACGTTTGGGATTCATCAAACACCTTATTAGATCTTTGTCATTTTTTTGTTGTTGTTTGTCTGTCTTACGTGACTAAAGAGAGAGAGGTTGGGAAATACGTTTTCTTCATATTGAAGGGAAAAATCTTGATCCTTTACCCTTTAAAATAATACCAAGATGCTAATTTGGGTTTGTGTGCTGGGAGGTGGGTACTACTGATACTAAAAGGAATATGTGAAGGGAGTTGGTGATTGAAGGGAAGTTTATTGTTGAAGAAAATGAAAAGTCTGTGTCAGAATGTTCCAGTTTCATTTATTTATTTGTTTTACAGTTTTATCTGCTACCTGTTATCTAAATAAATGTACCATGCAAGGACTCGGCCTTTTCCCCACTTTAACTTTGAGAATTATTAGTCACAACAGCTTCTCCTGTTCTTGCTCTTATATGCTTATATACAGGTGGTGGCAGGAAGGAAAAACATAGAAGGACAGACGTGTATGTGTGTTTCCAAAGGTTAATGGTAGAACCATATCAGAAAAGATACATATGGAGGGTTATGTGCATATTTGGGGTACCTTTATTCCTCTTACCATTTGTGACCCTGTCAGTTCATTCAGCAAACATTCAACAAATGAATATCTGTTTTCTTGTGTATTCAAAGCAAAAAAAAATAAATCCTGTTTCCCCTACCACTCCCCACCACCTCTATTCCTTCCCCCATGGAGCCCTAAGAGTACACAGAAACTTAGGCCTTGGAGAGCATGAATTAGATGAGATGGATATTGGCCCAGAAATGGGTGGAGGGGCAAGGGGTTCCTCAGGAAACTGACCCCGCTCTACTCCTGCAGACAGTCAGCCCTGGACATCTGATGAAACAGTGGTGGCTGGTGGCACCGTAGAACTCCAGTGCCAAGTGAAAGATCATGAGGACTCATCCCTGCAGTGGTCCAACCCTGCCCAGCAGACTCTCTACTTTGGGGAGAAGAGAGGTAGTGTATCTTGAGTTATCTGTCTCCTTGGGAACCATGGGCTGGGGAAGGGGACTGTGGAGCCTGAGGGAACTGTCCTTGTAGTCCAAAGGCTTGGAAACACAGTGATGGGCAAACCATGGGCCCCTCATCTGGTTCTAGAAAAACCAGCTTACAGATTCGACCCAGGCCATGCATGGTCTTATAGGGTCTTAGAGTGACTTCACGCCAAAGGGGCCCTAACATGTCAGGCTGAGGTCTGTGTTCACCCAGATATCTCACAACGAAGCCTGCATTCAGAAAAGCCAACCTAGTTTCCTGAATGTCTCTTAGGCTACTGTACCCAGGGGACCAGGGAAGTTGTGAAATAGCCTAAAGATTGCTCAAGCTTAGGAGCAATTTGCTCGCCCCCCAACCCCTACCCACCACACAATACCCTTTGCCCCAGAGGAGAAGACCTAGAAATGGATGATAAACATGAAAGGTGCTCCTAAAGGCCTGGCTTTCAATTCTCCCCCACTTTCCCCCAGCCCTCCGAGATAACCGGATTCAGCTGGTCCGCTCTACACCCCAGGAGCTCACCATCAGCATCAGCAATGTGGCTCTGGCAGACGAAGGGGAGTACACCTGCTCAATCTTCACCATGCCTGTGCGAACCGCCAAGTCCCTCGTCACTGTGCTCGGTGAGGCTCCCAAACCCCAAGATCTCCACAGCATGCTTCCTTGAAAACAAGCCTCTCTAGCCTGGCCCCTGAAGCAGGCTGGAGGCAGGCAAGTCTCCAAGCATGTTGCGTAAGTTCAGCCAATGGGATAAAATGCAAAGGATGCTGGGTTCTCACTCCTCCTCCTCCACTTACTGCTTGATCTGAGCCACATCTCTTATTCTCTTTGGGCCTGAATTTTCTAACTTATAAAAGAGGGATGAGCATGTCTATTCTACCTATCTCCCAAGACTGTCATGAAGGAAAGATAAGATGTGCATGCAGTGTGAAATTCTAATTTCTGCTTGCTTACATGCCCTCATCTTCACCCTGTATTTCAATTTCATTCTTTTCTTTCCTGAATCTCACACTATTTCTGTGACTACCTAGTTGTGCTGTGTGATATTGAGCATTGACACATGTCTCAGGTATGGTATCTCCCTACTACCATACCTCCCCTAGGTCTTCCCTCTTGGCCCTCAGAGAGGAGATACAAAGATAAAGGTGATTTCTCTAGTTTTCTCCTATCCATCCAAACCCAAAATAGGACCCGAGTATCCTGACCACCAGAGAGGCCATCTCAGCAGGGAGAGCTGAGGTGTGATCTCATTTGCCTCTTCCTGGCCATCCCCTATCCATGACAGGAATCCCACAGAAGCCCATAATCTCTGGTTACAAGTCACCGTTACGGGAAAAAGATCACACTACCCTATACTGTCAGTCTTCTGGAAGCAAACCTGCAGCCCAGCTCAGCTGGAAGAAGGGTGAACAAGAGCTCCATGGTGAGTACCTCCTGTCTTGGGATGACAGTAAGAGGTGGGAGATAAAGGGGAGAGAGAGGGCAAAATTGTATGTGTAAGTATGGGCACATAAGGCATGGTGTTCAAGGAGAAAGGGAGAATGACAGATACTTTGTGAGCACTTGCATGTGTATATGTGTATGTGTTAGGGCCTATATTCTCTCTGTGTATACATATCCATTTCACAACTTTCTAAGTTTGTCTAAGTTGAGACTCACCATCTGTATGTCTACAGCGGGGCCCACTCTATATACGTATGTTAGGGCTCGCTCTGTGTCTATGTGTGTGAGTCTATGTGTCTGTTTCTGCACTCTAGGAGAACCAACTCGAGCACAGGAAGATCCCAATGGTAAAACCTTCACTGTAAGCAGCTCAGTGACCTTCCAGGTTACCCGGGAGGATGACGGTGCAATCATTGTGTGCTCTGTGAACCATGAATCTCTACAGGGAGCTGATAGATCCACCTCTCAGCGCATCGAAGTTTTATGTATGTCATGGGCTGGGCATTGAAAAGGGATCAGGTATAAGATGGGAAGTGGGAATAAGGAAAGTGCAGGTGACTGTACATGAAGCAACATGCAATAGGTTAAAAAAAAAAAAAAAGGAGTTGAAAGGTGGCAGGACTAGGCACCCCTTGTTGTTAGCTTGCCATCAAGTCAGCCCCTGACTCATGATGACATCATATGTGACAAAGTAGAACTGTTCCATAGGGTTTTCATGGTTGTAATCTTTATGGAAGCAGACCACTAGGCCTTTTCTTCTGCAGAGCCTCTGGGTGGGTTATGAACTGCCAACCTTTCAGTTACCAGCTGATCACAACCCACTTGAGCCACCCAGGTCCACCACAAGGGATTGGCAACCTTTTTTGGTAAAAGGCTAAATAGTAAATATTTTAGGTTTTGAGGGACATATGGTCTCTGTCTCAACTACTTAACTCTGCTGTTGTGGTGCAAAAGCGGCCATAGACAACATGTAAACAAATGAGCATGGCTGTGTTCCAATAAAACTTTATTTATAAAAACATGCAGCTGGCAGGATTTGGCCTGTGGAAATTGGCCCATGGGCCAAGATTATCAGCCTCTGGATTAGGCCACTGTTATGCAGCTAGATTGCTAATTACAGTGGTAAGTGTGGCAAATCAGGAGTCAAAAGACATAGCTTCTAGTCTGTGCTCCACTACTTACTAGCTGTGTGAAATTAAGAAAATTAATTTACCCCACTGAGCTTGATTCTTTATTTGCTAAATGAGAGAGATAAAACATGAGGATCATTAATTCTTCTTCCTGGATTCAGGAAAATATGAGTGGTAGGCAAACATAGTTTCTCTGGCATCACTATTCCAAGACCGTCTCCCAAGTGAGTACTCTCCTGTCTTCCCCAGCTCCATGACTTGTTCTTGGATTCTGACCTGAAATGGCCATATCACTGTCACTATTCCTAACCTTCCAAGGACCCTTGTCCCTCTTTGGAGTCTGCCTTGAGTATGGACAGGAAACATTTGTCTTCATCTGAGGAAATATGGACTCTTTCAAAAAGGACTTGACTGGGTAGAGGAATCCAAGGAACAATGAACACAAAATAAAATCAGAAGATGAAGAGTTGTAAAATCATGCACTTCTTGTCCTAACATAGCCAAAGGCTGGGCATTTTTCTAAAGTAACCGAAGCCCTGAATCTCTTTTTCACAGGAGATCCAAACCTGATAACTTTTCCTAACTTTAATGCTATTTAAATCAGTTACTAAACCCACCACTCAAACTTTAGCATGAAATAGGATTGGGATGATATCGCATTCCATTTAGTAGATTCTCAATCTGGAGACACAAGACCTGGATTCTAGTCACTGAGTCACCACTTACTAGCTGTGTTACTTTGACCAAAACATTTAATCTCTTTGGGGCCCCTGCTTACTTCAGTGAGCCACCATGAGGATAAATGAAACAATATATATGAAAGAACTTTTTAAGCTTCAAAGTTCTATACTGTTATAAGGTATTTCTCTAACTGTTGGTCCTGAGTGTGAAGCCCCTGGCCTTGGGCTCCTTCCGTCAGCCCTGGTCCCTTGCCAGAGATAGGAAAGGCCTTCTCCTGTCTGAGCCCCAGACCATCTGGCAATTACTCTCCAGAGACCTCTTTTGGCCCAAGTGTGATCAGAAGTCAGTCAACAAACGCTGCACTCAGGCACCATGCTAGAGGTTTCTACGGCTGTAGGGCCCCGGGACACCCATTCTTTCACCTGGCCTGTTTCTCTTTGTCCTGTTTGATTTGACTGAAGCACATTCATTAAACTGGTTATTAAGGTTGGCTCTATCCTTAGGGGAAGCTCGGCCTCTTTATCTGTTGTTCTAAACCAGCATCTGGTTGTATTGTTCTAAGCAGCCATCTGGACATAGACTCCTAAGCAGCCCTTTGGCGTCAGTGGCAGATGCCATTATTCCTTCACAGAGCCCATCTATATTGTGTCTCAGTCCCTTTTTTGCAGCCAAAATATGACCCCTATCTCTTGCTGTTTCAAAGGTCTTATTTCCTTTTTGGACTGACCATTAAAAATGATATTTTGTGTTCAAGGGTTGCTTCCAGTTCTGAGTTCCCTTGCAGAGCAGAGAGGAACTGAGAGGTTCAGAGCTTGATAAGTGATCAAGTTTAGATTTATTTGTTTTGTCAAAAAATGAGTAGAAAGTCTCATCTACGTGGTGGACAGAGTCCCTGGGTGGTGTAAGCAGTTACAGTGCATGGCTGCTAACCAAAAGGCTGGAGATTGGAGTCCACCCAGAGGTGCTTCAGAAGAAAGCCCTGGGAATCTACTTCTGAAAAGTCAGCCATTGAAAACTCTATGGAGCACAGTTCTACTCTGACACATATGCGGTCATTGTGAGTCAGAACTGACTCAACGGCAAGTGGTTATGTGCTAGGTACAGATGAGCCATTTCTACCCACCCCCCTCAGATCTTTGTTAAGATGTCCCTCAGGTACCCACCAAGGAAAGATCTCCCAGAATCCAATCACACTCACAGTTGTAATATAAGAAGTTCCTCATACATTTTGTAGCAATAGCCATCTTGGCTGACAAGTGGTTGAGGGAGGGGGTCTTTGTTCACAGCCTCTTGGGTTCCTAAGACATTTGAGAAGGTCTACTGCATTACCGAGTGATTTCAAAATATACGTCAGGGCAAATGACCTCCTAAACAATGTGGGGAGTTTTGTTTTGACACCGTTTCCTTCTCCACAGACACACCAACGGCGATGATTAGGCCAGACCCTCCACATCCTCGCGAGGGCCAGAAGCTGTTGCTACACTGTGAGGGTCATGGCAATCCTGTGTAAGAAGATCCATTTCCTGGCCTCTAATGTACCTCATAGCCTCAGACTGTTATCTCAACTTAAGTCCTCCTGTCTTCTCTGTTCTGTCTGAGCCTCCCATTTTCCCTGACCCTGTCTAACAATGTTCATTCTCTGATTGTTTCTCTTGTACAGGCCATAGAAGTGGGGAGGGGACTTTCCCTGGCTTAGCCCCTGAGATTGCCATAGGAGCCAAGTTCCAGCAAGATACAAGTTAGGAATCTCCACCTTCCCCAGAATGTACCCCAAGGGATCACCTTCTCCTGCCCCTGAGCAGCTCAGTGTCTCCATGCCCTGTAACTTCTTGAGCCCTCATCAAGAATTCCTTGACTTCCTTGCTCCTAGTTATTTTATTTTTCTTTTAGCTCCCAACCTACTGTCTCCTGAACACGTCTGATTTCTCTGCCTTAACAGCCCCAAGCAGTACCTATGGGAGAAGGAGGGCAGCGTGCCCCCCTTGAAGATGACGCAGGAGAGAGCCCTGATCTTCCCCTTCCTCAACAAGAGTGACAGTGGCACATATGGCTGCACAGCCACCAGCAACATGGGCAGCCACAAGGCCTACTACACTCTCAATGTTAATGGTGAGCCCTCCACAGTTCTCCTCCTCCAGATCTGCCCTTCTCACCTTCTCTGTCCATTTTACACTCTCTTCTGTCCACCTCCTGATAGCATCCCCAACCGTGATTGGGAGTGGAGTAAGGGAAAATCAGAAGCAGCCCACTAGTGAGAAATTAGGCTCTAGGTTCACTCTGGAATGTGTAATAAGGAAAAATCAATAGGAGGGGTGGACTCCCATCTGCCTGTGTTCAACAGTGGTGGCCCAAGTGGCACTATCCTCCAAGCCCTGCACTCACCTGACAGCAAAAATAATAATGCTGTGTTTAGAGGCCCCAGAGCCTCTCAAGTGCAGGTAAAGACACATTTTGCTATTCAGCGAGCTGTTCTCAGAGTTGCTTTTCCTGCGAGGAGGTTTGGGATGTATGCTACTGCTGTCATTTCCTTTTCTGCAGACCTTAGACACTATAATGGGTCCAGGCAGAAAATAGAGATAAGCTGTACTATGCTGAAAAATAGTCAGAATCTTTTCTCAGATGTTGTATCTTCTAGAGGGACCAGATGATGCTCCTTCTCTGAAATTCTTTCCAAAGTGTGACCACAAAACCCAGCTTCAGGGGAAGTTACAGGTTAGCAGAGAGCCACTTTGATGGAGCATTGGCAGAGGGTTTTTTTTAGATCTCATGAGAAATGGGGTCCAGCCAAAAAGTCCTCGAAGCCTCTTCTCAGAGTAAGGAGACTACATTGTTAGAAGTACATCAGAGATTCCCTTACGTGAGACACCTATTAAAGCAGTAGGGGAGATAACAGCCAGGTCATCCAGAATAAGAGGCCTGAGGTTCTTGGGAACAAGGTATCTGTATGGGTAATTCCAGTTCCAGGGGCCAACCTCAGTAGGTGGGGCTGCCTTAGCACAAGGAACAAGGCTATTGTAGGATCCCAGGAGCCTGGACAATGCATTGGAGACTGGTCTTTGCCCCTGAATCTCTCCAGAACAGCTCTGACAATGATTTGCAGTGAGAGAAATTTTCACAGCTCCTCCAGGTTCTCGTGCCCTTGTGGCTGGCATCTTGCTGAGGCCCCCTATGCCCTGCGGTAAAAAGCCCAGTGAGTCCTGTTTGACTTCATCTGCTTCCTGTGCTGACGCCTGGTGGTGGAAGGGGTTGCTGCATCTTCCAGGAATATCCTAAGTAGTATTCACTCCTACCTGCCTGGAATGAAATTAAATGTAGTTTACCCAAAGACAAGGACCTGTTATTGATGACCCCAGAGGTCTTTCTGGCAAAGGAAACTTGTGTCTTACTAAGGAATTTCCATTTCTATAACCTCTTGAATAATTATCCAGGATTATTTTTAATAAGGACTGTGTCTCACATACTCCCTGGGAGAGAGGTCATGAATAAACTCACTCTGCTTCTTCCAAGTTATGCCATCACACCCACCCCATCATGTCATCAAGCCCCCAACTTCATCCTCTCCCTCCCTCCCGAGTAAAGCATAAAGAACCAGAGCATAAATGTTTTCTTTTCAAATAAGGCATAGTAGACAGGCAAAGAACTAAAAAGCTGGCCCAGTGAAGCCTGAGGAGACATAAGGTAGGACTGATAAAATATATAAGGAGTCATTGAGGCATCAAGACTCAAGTTGAGTCTACAGAAAAACAGTAGCTCTCCCATGGGTGGGAGGACTATATCTATGGCTAATACAATTTTGGACACATCAGAACTATGTCCTGGCTCTATGCACTGTATCTTCAGATATTTGGGACTCTGACTTTAGCTGGTGGTGCTATCCTTGCCACACCTGGCCCAATCCGTGCTGTTGGACCATGCTCTCTATATGTTTCTATGGAAGACTGATTCTCTCTATCTGATGGCTGAGACATCAGCCATCATCAGTCTTTGTCCTTCCCATGAACCTTTCGATGGTACGGAAGTGAAGATGGAGCCTCACACCTCCTTGTTAGGACAGGCTAATGGATTAGGTTTTTGTTGGAACTCTAAACCCCCCAATCAAGAAGGAACACTGTGCTTTATACAGGTGGGCACAGTGTATCTTCTTGTGTAAGGTCTGTTAAAGCGCTTAATTCTTAGCCCCATCAGTTTTTCACTCTGCTTTCCTACATGATCCCAGGGCAGTGGGTGAATAGGCTGAGAAGTCCCCTAGAGAAGCCAGCTCAGAATAGCAAGCAGACAGGTGAGTAAGAGGGCATGCAGAGAAGAGAAGGAATACTCAGGTAATCCAGAAATATAAGAAGAAAAAAGGAAGGAAGGAAAGAAGGAAAAAAGATGATAGGCATTAAAGTGATGGTCTTTGACCAAGGGCTTTAGTGCTAAGAACTTGACTTAGAGAGCTGGTGTGAGCAGATTTATTTATTCATGAATACATCAAATTTTTTAATATTTACTATGTTCCAGGCTCTGTGCAAGAAATTAGAGTATAAGATAAGGCGTATCCCTTTGCTGAACGGTGCCGCTCCATTCCCCTGACGTTAGTCTACTTCCTCTGCTGTGTATGACTCTCCATGGCCAGGCCAGAAGTGCTATGAGATAAGGGTTCTCCCCAGTCTGACTGTGTGCACTCCCCTCCCTGCAGACCCCAGTCCGGTGCCCTCGTCCTCCAGCACCTACCATGCCATCATCGGCGGGATCGTGGCTTTCATTGTCTTCCTGCTGCTCATCCTGCTCATCTTCCTCGGCCACTACTTGATCCGGCACAAAGGTCAGGGCATGAGAGAATGATTAGTAGAGTTTGGGAGCTGGTAGGAAGGTCAGTCAGGGGCAGACAGGACGAAGTAGGGTACAGTCAAGGACTTTGGAAAATTTGGTCAACTCTTTGGAATGTTTGGGAAAGAGAAAAGAATGCAGTCAATCCCATCCTTGCTAACCCGATAACAAGTGAGTACCAACAACCCCGAAGTAAAGCCTGATCACTTGGTGATCATCCAAGTGAAATCAACCTTCCCACTCAGTCAGCTGCTGCTCCATGCTGCTCTGCCTCCAGGGTCTCCTGCTGGAAGGCAGAAAGCTCCCTGCAACTCCGCATATCCATCCCATTTCTCCTGGCACTTTCTTCCTTTCTATCCACTTAGCCTCGTTTTCCTTCTACTTGGATCTCACCCCTGTCCTACACGCATCTCTTTTCTTTCCTCTCTTTGTACCTGACTGTCTGTAACCCATGTACCCTTTCCTCATATTCCTTCCTCTCAGACTTTCTGGTTATTACTCTGGCCAGCAGCCTGATGGCATGGGCTGGTCAAATACTAGCCGGATCTCAGCTACATTGCTTATGAAGCTGACGTAGCAGTTTCCCCTTCACCACCTTACACACACTCACACACACACATACACACTCACAGCCATACCCACACACACACCAACACATACAAACACACTCATATTCTCATACACACACACACTCACACACACACATGCTCACACATACACAACACACACACACATACACTTACAACATGCACTTTCTCACACACTCACATATACTCATACACACATTCTCACACAGTCACATACATATACACTCACCCACACACACACACACACACACACACACACCTTTTTTTAAATTTTTGCCTGTGTTATAGATGAAATTCTAATTAAGGGCAAGATTCATGAATTCATGGGGGTGTGGTCAGATGAAGGATGAGAATAAAATGCAAATTAGGCAAGGTAGGAAGGAAGAAAGCTCCAGGCTGGAGACAAGGTGCAGGAGCACGGTGTGGGCGGCGGGAGGGCAGGAAGGTGGGCAGGGTGGGCTTCAAAGGTTTGCAAGCTGCTCCTGAAAAAAGGAGCCTCTATCTCTATCCAGGAACCTACCTGACACACGAGGCAAAAGGCTCTGACGATGCTCCGGATGCAGACACGGCCATCATCAACGCAGAAGGCGGGCAATCGGGCGGGGATGACAAGAAGGAATATTTCATCTAAGGGTGCCCGCCCACTTCCTGTGCCCCCCAGGGGCCCCATGGGGACTGCTGGGGCCATCACCAACCTGGACTTGTACAGAGCGACCCCAGGGCCGCCCCTCCCGCTTGCTCCCTGGCCCACCCACCCCCTGTACAGAATGTCTGCTTTGGGTGCGGTTTTGTACTAGGTTTGGAATGGGGAGGGAGGCGGGCGGGGGGGAGGGGAGGGTTGCCCTCTGCCCTTTCCGTGGCTTCTCTGCGTTTGGGTTATTATTATTTTTGTAACAATCCCAAATCAAATCTGTCTCCAGGCTGGAGGGGCAGGGGCCCTGGGGTGAGGAAAGGAAACACTGGAGTGTTAGGGGGAGAATGAAGGTGGAGAGGTCAGGAAACAGAAAGGAGCAGTCTGGTTTGGCCGGGGGGGTGGCGCTTTCACCAGCCCTCCACCCTCTATAGCGGAGCAGCTTCCCCAGACTTCCCCAGGAGCTGGAGGCTTGTGAGCAGGAGCCAGAAGTGGCTTTTCTTTTGATAGCCACACACCGCGAGCTATGGACAGGGAGGCAGGGGCCACCCAACACCCCTCTTCCACCATCAAGGGGAAGAGGAATGGAGGTATGACCTGTAACCATGCGGGGGCCCAGAGCTTGGGCATGAAGAGGGCACAGGTCCCTGCAAGGAGGCATAGTGGAAGGATGGCAGAGACTGACCTGCCCGCCCCTTGCCCCACAGTGAATGGGGGACGGGCCCTTTTCCCAGGAACTGCCCCTGAGGGAAAGCAGATCGTGGATGCTGCTCCTTCTCCAGCAGCTGTGGAAAGGCGCTGCTCTGGGGCCTGGACTGCGTCTGCTCCCCCACCCAGGGCCCCTCACCGTTTCCCAGGCCCTGGACTGTTGCTCGGCAACTCCTCTTCCCTGTCTGTGCCACCCTGTGCCCCTTGCCATCCCCTAAGCCAGCCCTTAGCTCTTCCTCCCTTAGCAGCCAGGCAGATATAACAACAAAGAACACTAAAAAGAGCTTCACTGCACTGAGCTGTTTCCTGCCCAGACTAAGGAAATAATGTGAACTCTGTGAGTGTGTGTGTGTGTGTGCATATGTACACGTGCGTGCCTGCGTGTGCGTGTGTGTGTGTGTGTGTGTGTGTGTGTGACAGAGACTGAGGAGGACGGACAAGGGCCCGGGTCCTGGGCAGGTGGGTGGGGCTGTGGGAACAGCTGAAGGAGGGCTTTGGAGGCGGAGGATTCCTAGTCAGGTAACTCACCTGGGGTGTTGTTCTAGTATATTCCAATCCACTCCCAGTACCCATTTGTCTTGGAGAAAGGAGTCCCAGCATGTGTTTCTGCCCATCCATCCCATCTCTCCCCTAAACACAGAGCACTCAACCCCTCCCTCATCTTCCTATCCCTGAGCCGTGGAGTCAGTACCACAGCATTTGCTATGCACCCCCAGGCCTCTCCCTGGCACTGACTCTGCAATCTCCCATACTCTGCCCAGTGAGTTGAAGGCTGGGAGTGAAAGCCCCTGTCTCTTTCCCATCCCCACCCCTGCTTTTGATTTTCTGTCTTCCTTCCCCGGCCTGGAGCTGGTTGCAGTGGAGATAAGGTTGCTCCCCCTCCCTGTCCCAGCCGGCCTGCCCCCCTCAGACCCAGAATGCCCCTCGGCACTGCTCTCACCCTCCTCCAGCATGTCCTCCTTGCTCTGACAAATGGGCATGCAAAACGGGGGCAGCTGCACCCCAGCAGATCTGCCCACTCCCTCAGTTCAGGTAATACCACTGTGGAATCTTCCTGCCAGTGGTTAGGGCCCTGGGCACCACAGGCAGCCCCTTACCCAAGCCAGGGCCCCCTTCTCTAACAGCAGCAAGGGAGCCTGGGACCCAGGCCTGTTGGGCTCCCTGTCTCCCAGCACCCACGTTTTGGGAAAATGACTTTTCCTCTTCGAGCTGAACCACTCTGTCCATATTACACAGAAGCCATATTTGTACGGGGGGCGGGGGAGCAAGGGGCAGTTGTGCTGTGTGTGTCTGTCTGTGGGTGGGTGGGGGAAAGGCAGCAGGGAGGGGATCGTGTATCTTTATAATCTTTCTAACTCTCCTGTGCTAATCGCAGAGGGGCCACCCTCAATATATCTGGATTATCCGTGTCGTTTGGCTGCTTCCTTTTTGCTGTTCTCGCTGCTGCTGGGATGTGTGTGTATAAGAGCTGTTCCTCTGGTATCTCCTGCACCTGGTACCTCAAGGGGCGACGTGGACCTCACCATGCCGCCCACCCAAGGGTGTCTCCTTGTGGGAAACAATATAACTCAATATAACTCTTGTGGGAAAGAAGTATATCCAGTCTCCCGTCCTTCTGCCCCCTTTTGTGGGGCCCTTGCTTCCCAGAGTTTGATTGGGGCTGGGGGACCTGACTGCCCCCCTCCATCTCGCCCCCAGTCCTCTGCCAGGACAACCATTCCTGGAAAGTTTCACCAGACTGCCTGCAACCTGGCTTTCTAATCCCCCTCAGGTTGAACTTGAAACTGGAGCTAATGTTCTGGGAAAAAAGGAAAGCATATCTCTAAGGTAACTTTTTGGACCTGGATCTGAGGTACTTCGCTTCCAAGCTCTCTTGTCACTCCTTACCTTAGCCCCAGACATGGGATTGAAACTCCTTGGCGGACTCAGGATTAAAGCATCCCATGTAGACGAATGAACCAGTGTCCCCTCTACAGCCCCTCTCTACCTCAACATTTGGACTTGGACACTCCATTGCTCACCTCTCTTCATTTCCAGGCTAAGTCTCCCCAGCTGAGAAAGTAAACTGCAGAGAGGGGCAATGGAACAACAGAAGTCCTGGGGAAGCAGTGAGGGGTGAGAAGGGGCTTCCCAAGAGGAGAAGCATTGGCTTAGGTGAATCCGCCTGCAGGGTGGATGCCCTTTCTGTCTGCCAGCCGGAGGGAAATAGAAGCTCTGCCCTCACCCCCATCAGAAACTTTACATCTCACTGAGATGCCAGGCCAAGAAACAGTTTCCAGAGCCTTTATGTCTCCCAACAGAAATATGAATAGAGTTTACCCCATGGGCAATGGTCCCATTTTAAAATATGCTGTCCCATGGTCCCCTCGAGTCTACTTTAACTTATCAGACCATGTGTTCTGTTTGGGAGGGAGAGGCATTCACTGCACCCATAGGTGGCTAGGCAAATGCCCAATTGCTCCCTGGAGTAGCTTCATTATGCAGCCTGACAGCTGCCCCCAGCTCTCCTCCTCTCACACGGAAACACCAAGACACAGAGAGAGCCAGACACATGCCCAGATACCTGCCCAACACATGGATATGAGCACACTGATACACAAGGAGAAGACCACACAGCTCTGCAGACAGGCGGGCACACACACACACACAC